GGACTAGATGACCCACAGAGGTCCCTTCCAACCCCTACTATTCTGTGATTCTGTGATATTTTTTTTTTGTGGTTGTTTGCTCTTTTTTCCCTGCGCAGAGTTAACATTGTTCTAAGTATTTTTTTTTTTTCCTTTATGAAATCAGATTCTTTTGCAGTTGGGCCCCTCTAGTTAAAACCTGTGCTAACAAAAAGAACAAGCACGTCTTGGTGGTACATGGAAATAACCAGCTAAAGGCACGGCTGACCCAGCTAAATCCCTGAAGAAGATTCGAATGCTTAACGAAGCCACATGTTTGTATAATGTTAATGGTTCCACCTGGATAGGCAGATAGTTCTGCTGGAGCTGGATAAATAGCACTGGTACTGTGCTGTCAGCAGCCTGGCGCTGCTCCTTGCTTCGTTTCCCCTTTTGGCGTGGAGAAGTGTCTTCAAGCGGCAGTGGAGGTGCTCTCTGCGGGGACAGACTGGCCATCTCTGTCAAATCCAGTGCAGATATGACAGTTCTTACCTGCAGAATGTTTGTCCTTTGTTCGTGAGTCTCTTGGGAGGAATCAAGGTGTACCCCCTACCTTTAATCATTGCTCTTTGACGACTCTTGCAGCTTTTGACTGTAGTGGATAAACCGTAATTGATTAGATGCTCTTGGAAGGCAGTGCTTTCGTAGACCCTGCTTCTGCAGAATGCCGTCTGCTCGAGGGGGGCAGAACTGGGTTTTGTTCCTTTGGCTCTTTCCTGTTTGTTGGGTTCAAACCTGGTTTTGGGTGCCGACACTGCAGAGCCTTGCTGGGCGAGGTCTGCCCTGCGGAAGAGTGAAGATCTGCCCTAAGCCCTTAATCGCTTTTTATCCTCTCGGCAGATGGTGGCATAAATCTGAGCCTCGACGCCATTCCGATGGGCTTGCCAATGTCCGACCCGGCGGCCTGGACCACGGCGATGAACAACCTCGGGATGGCTCCCATGGGGATGACGGGACAGCCCCTCCTGCCCGGTGCGTCCGCTGACCCGGCCTCGGCCCACCTTTGCTTTCAGACGTGGCTTTGGGAAGAACCTGTGTCAGCTGCGTTAGATAAATGCCTGCTGCGTACAAAAGAAAATTAATAAGCTGTGTCTGAAACGCATTAATGCCTGGATGCGATCTGTTTAGAGACCAGTGTTTTAAAACAGATTTCAGAGGAAATGAGAATGTGTTTAGTTTTTCTTTGGTATTGGAAGCAAATCTAAGAGCAAAATCAAAGTGAAAGGCTACCTAGATACAGAGTGCTAACTAAAGCCTAGAAACAAGTTAAGCAGGGTAAGGCATGCAACCTTAAACGCTTCTGTGCGCGTTACCCAGGATTATTCTGGCGTGTTCTTAGCTGCTGAAGCTGGTACACTTGTCTAGTTTGCAAGGTGATGCCGTTAAACCTGGGTCACAAGCTCTCTGCGCTACCAAACTACTTAATGGGTCGGACTGGGTTAGGTTTTACACTGTTTCCACATGCCGCAGATGTCTTTATGTGGATAGTATAATACTTACTGGGGAAGGTTTTGATGCTAGATAGGAGGTGGTGTTTACAGAGTGGGAAAGGAATTAGTTTATATGAACAGAGAAAAACCTATTTGGCTGAGGCAATCAACATCGAAACAGTTTTTAAAAACTTGTTCTAAGGGCACAAATCTAAAGTTCTGGTGAGTTGTGTTACGAAGTTCCCTCTCTTGCTGTTTGTTCGGCTGCTTTTCACTGGCACAAGTGGGGAGAGTGCTGCATCTGCTGTCTGAATAAACAGTTACTGTATGGGTCCAAGCCACTACCTGACATCTCTCCCTCACTTAGATTTTGATCCTGCTCTCGGGGTGATGACTGGAATCCCTCCCATCAACCCCATGATGCCAGGCTTGGGGATAGTCCCACCTCCCATCCCTCCGGACATGCCTGCTGTGAAGGAGATCATTCACTGCAAAAGCTGCACTCTCTTCCCACCGAACCCACGTAACTGTCTATTGATGTTTTGTCCTGTTTCTGCCTGTCTGTGTGGGAATGTGTGTGTGTATGAAAGTGTATGCGAGAGAAGAGCCACGCCGTTGCGTGGAGGTAGCAGCTCTGGGGCGAGTCGCCGTGGACTGGATGCTGACCAGCAGGTGATGGAGCAATAGGAAGAGCCTGTTCCTGTCACTGAGTGTTTGCCATTCCGTAAACAGCCTTTTCAGTTGTCGGGTTGGTAAGGACTGGGGAAGAAAGCATTCCAGCCCCTGGGAATTTGAACTTGAATCTTCATGGTGTGAGTCTTGCATGTGTTAGCTAAGGCTTCAGAGACAGCGAGCTCTTGGAGGTAAGGGGACTGGGCCAGCCAGCATGGTCCATGCTGAGTCCTTGCTTGGCGTTTTGCAGGGTGTGATGGAAGGAGCACAGAGGCAGTTGGAAATAAGAAAATTTTAAGAAACAGATGGTCGGGGCTCATTAGGTTATAGCAAGAAACAAGGATCCACTTCAAACTAGCCGACTGACCCTTGCTCCTTCCTTTTATTATAAAAACCGGAGGAGGGGGAAAAACATCGTTACCTGTCAGGTGGCTGGGCTTGTGCAGAGAAAGAGGAGGGGGCTGAAATAGCCAACAAAATGTAGATGTGATTGGCTTCAACTTAAGACTGACCAATATTTTTATTCCAGCAGCCAGCCAGGCTGTAGCCTGGAGCGTGTCACTATCTGACAAGCATGCAGTTTGGCAGCAATCACCGCTCTGGTCTTGGTGTTTCGGAGACCTCCGTGTGCTCCTGGCCAGAGCTCTGCCTGCAAAGAGGGCTTTGCTTGGCTTGTTACCTTTGGAGAAGAAGTGAGATGCTGTGAGCTGTGCTTGCTGCCAGACAGGCAGAGGGTGGGAAGCGTTCTACCCCGTAAAGCATTAATGATAAATCCTCAAATGTAAAACTGAGAGATGTCACAGACGGGGGAAGATAAGAGAGGTTGCAGGAGATGTTTGTAACCGCGTGTCCATACGTGATCCGTAAGAAGGTGCCAGCAGATGGCACCCAAGCCCGACGGGCTCCCAGCAGTGGGTCTGTGGTGCTCTCCTGCCCAGCGTTCTGAATAAAACACTGGCAGTCCTCTGATTATTTATCTCTTCACCATCCCTAGAAGAAAACCTCTCTCACTGTCCTCAGAACAGTTTTGGGTTGTTCTGTTATTTTTTTCGATTGGGTAGGCGCTGCTTTCGAGGTCTGTGTTCCTCCCTGGTTTCTTCTAGCCATGCTGAGAGTGGTTTTTCGGGTCTGCCTAGATGGTGTAGCCATCGGTTCATGACCTTCCCTTAATGTTAATACTTTTGTGCCCTTTACAGACTGCTGTGTAGCTTTTTGCCCTTTAGGATCCTCTGTATACGTTTGCTGCGTATTCTTTACATTGAGACGGTCCTTTAAGCTGTGCTTGTGTAGCACCTCCCATGATAAAGCTGCTCGTGCTCTGCGGCAGGAGCTCAGTGAGCCTGTTCCTGGGCTAGGGAGGGTGTTTGGAGGGCTTCCGACTCCCGAGATCTTTGGTTTGGGAGCAGGCTGGTAAATGTGTGTATTCTCGTGTAGCAGTGCTGTGGATCTGGTGCTTGGTGCAGCCGCGCAGCGTAGCTGGGTGTGCGTTGGAAGGGAGCCAGGAAGGTTTGGTTGTGTCTCGGGAGAGGTGGGCAGGCAAAAGGAACGTGCGCTGACAAACCAAAATCTAACCTGATCTGCTTTCTCTCTTGCTCTCCTCAGATCTTCCCCCTCCAGCAACGAGAGAGAGGCCCCCGGGCTGTAAGACGGTGTTTGTCGGAGGGCTGCCGGAGAACGGGACCGAGCAGATCATCATGGAAGTGTTTGAACAATGCGGGGAAGTCATAGCTATCCGGAAGAGCAAGAAGAATTTCTGTCATATCCGCTTTGCCGAGGAGTTCATGGTGGACAAGGCACTTTATCTTTCTGGTAGGTGCATTTCTGTCTCCGATGGCAGCTGAACATTCTGGGACAGAGATATAGTGAGTTCTTTACAGTTATAATGAGAGGCTTTGGTGCAGTTGGAAGATTTCTCTAATGTGGGGTCAGTTCACCTCGTTTGCTGCTGCTGTTGCATTTCTGCTTAAACACATGAAATGCTTCCTTTTCCAGCATCACTCTCTGTGCACTGAACTGTTCAGTCAACTCTGGCGTTCGGGGGCTTTCTGGCTCTGTGGGAAGGAGAGACGGGCACCGGTGGGTGGTCGGAGCCTAGGGGAAGTCGCCTGTCCTCTCTGAACGCTGTTGTCGTCGCTGCCAGGCTACCGCATCCGGCTGGGCTCCAGCACCGACAAGAAGGACACGGGGCGGCTGCACGTGGACTTTGCCCAGGCTCGGGATGACCTGTACGAGTGGGAGTGCAAGCAGCGGATGCTGGCGAGGGAGGAACGCCATCGCCGGCGGCTGGAAGAGGAGCGCTTCCGCCCGCCCTCCCCACCTCCTGTCGTCCACTACTCCGACCACGAGTGCAGCGTTGTCGCCGAGAAACTGAAAGGTACGTGGTCCTGCGGGCCGCGGCCGCCCTGCACTGCAGATGCTGGGACGGAGATCTGTCCTCTCCAGCGGCTGACTTGCTGAACGGAGATGGTGGTGCCACCCAGACCTGGCAGAGCGTTCCGGCTGAGCCCTCCGCCTGCACACAGCAGCTTTTCCAGCCCTCTCTTTTTCAGAATTGTTTGTCTTTTTGTAGAAACAAACCAATACAGGAGTACAACGGTTTGTTCCAAACCATTGTCTGCTCATGTTAAAAGGACTAGTGCAAGTCCTAAGACTTGCTTTGAAGCCTAAGACCCATGTGTGGCCTGATTGTTTTGGAGCTGGAGGATGTTCTCTTTCATGAAGGAGTACCTCTGAACAGGCATATGAAGTTTTCCAGTGGGTTTCTAGCAGCTGGCCCTACTGCGGCACCTCGGCAGGTGGTGTGCTCCATCAGCTTGATGTTAGGCTTGCCTTTGCAGAGCCGTGTACGCAGAGAATGGCGTGCTTTCCAGAGGGGTGGTGAGCTGCCTGATGACACAAAGTTCTTGGAAGCCATCCAGACCCTGCTGACCTGGATAGAACGCGGAGAGGTGAACAGGAGGACCGCCAACAACTTCTACTCCATGATCCAGTCGGCCAACAGCCACATTCGCAGACTGGTGAACGAGAAGGCGGCTCACGAGAAAGAGATGGAAGAAGCTAAAGAGAAATTCAAACTAGCGCTCTCAGGGATTCTGGTGCAGTGTGAGTAGTGTTTCTGCGCTGAACGCTGGCTGTCTGTCGTAGGGAAGATGCTTAGTTTCTACAGTCTGGAGAGGCCACGCTGAAGGGGCTCCAGGAAAAGAAATCTCAATCGCTTCTGTGCAGCTACAGCTAATTTGTAAGCATAGATCGTTAGCTTGGCGAAAGTCTCTTGTGGTACTTTATACTGGAGTAAGAGTCCACATCTGGGGGGAGCAGAGATTGAATTCTTATTTTTTTTTCCTCTTCTAATTATCATCTATTAGTAGTTCTGTCATCTTTTCAACTCCACTTGTGTGCACAGACAAGGTAAGTTGCTGGTAATGTGGTGCCTCAGCGAAGTGTGCAGGATTTATTCGCCAAAGGTAGGATGCGGCAGAGTGTTCCCGACACCCTGTTCTCAGGCACAGCTGAAAGCCTCTTGCAGAACAGCATTTCAAATCCCAGCACTTCATTAAACCATGAAAGCAAGGAAGAGGCATGGGCTGTATTATTCCTCAAACCATTCATTGCCTCTTACTCATCCTTTCTTTAGTAAGTCTGAATAGTTTTTTAAACTTTTTTCTCAAGAGTAGCTTTGAGTACCTTCTCCACAATTGTACTAGGTCTCCTTGAGCCCTTGGCTAGGTTAGCATTCTTAACTTTGGTTTGATTTTCAGTAATTTTGACTGTTACTCATTTGATAATTGACTTGTTAATAATTTTTTTTTAAATTCTGTTCACGTTAAAAAATATGGGCCCACGGTCCAGAGGGAAATGCAGTAAGCACTGCAGAGCAAGCAGTGATAGACAGTAGCATGCAGCTCTGCTCTAGCAAGCACCCACTGATAGCTCTGCCACTCTTAGGCTAATCTAAGTAACAGAGACCTGATTTTATTTTGTAAGGGTTATGCCTACTACAGCACAAGTGTAAGGAAAAAAAAGCCCCAAACCAGGTAGAAGTGCTTTCTGCTGGTGGCTGAGCTCTCATCCTGGGAGAGGCACAGACTTTCTAGCGAAACAAGGGCTAGATCTCGGGAACAAAGCCGTTGGTGGCTGATGGCAGGATCCCTCCTCCGCAGCCTGGGCGGGCGGGATGCCGTCGTGCTCAGGCTGCAGCACTGTTCTCTGGGGCTGCACCGCCGGGCAGAAGAGCACCCGAAGTGCCAGCTCGCGCAGTTGTGCTTCCTCAGCCCGGTTCAGAGAGCCAGTGCTACCCGGGTGCGCTTGTTACACTTGCGCGCAGCGTTGCGCAGCGTGAGTATTTTTCAGCGCAACGTGTGCCTGCCTTTTTCCAGTGGAGAGCAGATGCCGTTTTCCCAGTTGCCCGTTACTCTGTGAGCGTTGGACGTGGGTCTGGTGAAGCCCAGGCGTTTCTTTCCAGGCGCAGAGCCCCTTCCCTGAGCATAGCTTCAGCGCAGTACAGTGTTATGAGAAAAGGTCAGCCAAACCACCTGCCTGATTCCACTTTTTTACTCCTTTACTCCTCTTGTTCGCCCTCTCTGGATGATATTCTGGCCTGATTTGACTGCTGATTTGATACTACAGTCGAGCAGATAGTGGCCGTGTACCATTCTGCCTCCAAACAAAAGGCTTGGGACCATTTCACGAAAGCTCAGCGTAAGAACATCAGCGTGTGGTGCAAACAAGCAGAGGTTGGTAACTTTTTTTATTGTCAGATCCTCCAGCACAGTCTCTTTCTTGTCAGGATATTGATTTTTAAGTTTGTACAATGCTCGTGTGGATAACAACACCTTAATTCACAGTGTAAGATGGGAGTGACTCAGTCGTCTCTGGTGTTACAGGTAATAAATTTTCTCTTGCTATTTGTGTTACTAGTAGCAATACTGCTGTATGCCGATGGAAGATAAGAATAATTATTGGTCTGTTTTCTGCTGTTTTTAATGTTAAAGCAAGAGGGGTTTCTAGAGAGAAGTTAAAAAAGAAAAAAGCAAAACTGAACCACCAAACCCTAGGCATCATCAGAGGTCTGTTGTATCACGTTTTTATTGACAAACTTGAGAGGTGGAAAACGCTGCAGCTGGGCAGTCTGGAAAACTTGCGGGAGAGCGTTCTCATAGTTGTGTATTTATCCTGTGCAGCGACATTGCTAGTGAGGTACAGGATTTAAAGGTGGTGACAAGGGTGGGGTTGGTAGACGCATGTCACTCAAACTGCCCTTCCTGCAGGGGGAAGAACAGTTCTCAGTCCCTTGTCTGATCTTACCAAATCTTACTGGGGTCAGGCACAATGTCAGGCAAAATATAAAGTTCAGACAAAGAAAGGCTGTCTCTTGGGAAAGAGGTGGTTTGGGGAGGTGTTTGCCCTGGAGTCCGATGAAGGACATGCTGCCTTCTGTCACCTGCGCAGCAGGGATGTCACGTTGCTCAGCAGCGGAGCCCGTCACCATGGTTGTCCAGCCCGAGGGGGACAGGAGGAGAGTGCTGGGCTCCTGGGAACATGGAAGAGCTGTCTGCCCTGGAGTGGGTCTCCCGGTCAGAGCTCGTCTCCCCTGGAGTCTCGCTGCTGTGTCCCTTCACTGGAAAGGCTAGTGCTCAAAGCAGTGCGAACGGTTTTGAAGGAAAGAGCAAGAAATTGTATTTTTCTTGCTCATTAAGCTTTTAAAGTAGAGTGGAGCTTGAATCAGTTTTTACCACGGGCAGTAAAGACCTCTTCAAAGTAGGAGGACTCAGATCTGAAGCGCAGAAAAGAACTGCTGTGAAAAATAGGTGCCTCTTATCCTAATCCAGGGAGACACTGCTGTGTTTGGAAGTGTTCTCTGTTCACTGCAGAAGCACTAGCAGTTTGGAGCTGATCTTGTCATTTACGTGTCAGAAATAAGGCAAAGCAGCTGCTTTACCATCTCGGCAGAAACTTGGGAAAGTTTCCAGCCCGGTGGGTTGCCAGCGTTCAGCAAAGCCGTGCTGGGAACGTCAATCCGGCTGCGTTCGATGGCGGCTGTGGCTGAGGGACTGGCGAGGAGCTGGGCGTTCGGCCCTGCTGTCGAAGTGTTCCCGTGACAGCTGTGTTCACAGCCGAGCGGGTTGTGTCTGCACGCGCTGCCTGTTAGCTGGCTTTGGGCGAGAAATGCTACTCTGCCTGATAGCTTTGGATTTTCATTTTTCGTTGTTTCTCTGCCCTTTCTTGGAAGGCAAAGGTTGCTGACTGCTGGGCCTCACCGCGTGGCTTTCCAGAGCCCTGTGCCCTCTTGAGGTGGGGGGAGAGGGCAGGCACCGCGTGGAGCAGTGCTGGCCCCATGTTGCCCGGTAGTTCTCTGGCGGGCTGTGTTTTGGCTCCCGGCTGTGAGCTCAGTGCTAGCCCGCAGCCGTCCGCTGTGCCTGTGTCTGTCTGCGTGGCTCAGGTGAGCTGGAAGGCTGGAGACGCTTCGTGGCACCCACCCCAGTGAAGGCAGGGGGAAGAGACAAGTGTGTTCTGAAGTGCTCGGTTAGTCCTAGGAGGAAGGACTCCAATAAACAAGCCGCAGAGCAGCAAATAAAGAGCAAGGTCAGCTTTCAGCCCCAGCATCTTGTTTAGTTGTTCTTTCAGTACGATGCTGAAATCCTGTTCAGCTACTCCTCGAATCTGTCTCCTGCAGCATTCAGGTGTCTGTCTTAAAAGTAGAACCCCAGGCTGGAGAGCACCTGTGCTTTACCCGCTTCCCCGCAGCGTGCCAGTCCATCGGGCAGCTACGCTGCCTTCTGCCAGGGACTCGAAGGCTGGGCTGTACTGGAGTCCTCTGTGCAGCGTGGCAGTGCCACGTGCGACAGTCTGACGCGTCTGGAGTAAGGGGCTTTCATCGTCACTGCTTTCCTGACAGTGCTCAGAATAGGGAAGAAGAAACTTCACACAAATATCTTAAAATATTCCATTTCCAATAAATTTGTATTGTACATTTACAGTATTAAGTGAGTTTAGTGATTTCATTAGGCAGCTACAACTCTGCAAGAGCGCCAAGCTCACAGAGCAGCACTGGGGGTAGCTCCGAGGGGTTCAGTAAGGCATCGCCGTTTCCTCGTGCAGCGTTGGGCACCGTGTCTGCCCCGCGCGGATCCTCCTGCCCGTGTCCCCGTGGGGAGCAGAACAGGGCTGCGTGAACCACCTCTGAAACCGTTCGGCTGGGCGGTTAGTCTGGACTGCGTTAATCTGCCGTCTTTTCTTGACGGAGCCTGCGATCACAGAATCACAGAATAGCAGGGGTTGGAAGGGACCACTGTGGGTCATCTAGTCCAACCCTCCTGCTGAAGCAGGGTCACCTACAGCAGGCTGCACAGGACCTTGAAAGGAGTGTCTGAAAAGAAACCTGTTACCCTCCGAGGGGTGGTAGTTTCGAGGAGAGACGTGGGATTGTCTCGGCCAGGGCACGCAAATGGAAGCAGCAGATCACGATGTGCTTTCCTGCAGGAGGGATCTTACAGGGTCGTTTTTAGTGAAACGGTGATTAATCCAGCACTCTTGGGAGTTAGAGCAGAATGTTTGTGGTGCACGTTATCCTTATTTTGTGGTGTATGTCAGCGTTAGTCTTTACTGAAGTGGTGACGCGTTGATATTCCAGTGTATGTGTGACATGAACCAAGAGAAAAAAGTGCACCAAGTAGCTGACTGGAGATGAGATCTGTGGAGAGAGGCTTAAAGGCATAAATGACAGGTCTGAGATAAGAGCATGGATTATAGACAGGAGGAATTGCTTTTCTGGAAAGAGATTGTACATGTATCGTTCCTCTTTTTTGTAGAGAAAGAGGTCATGTAGAAGAGCTGTATGGGCTCTGCTTTCTTAACCATCATGATGTGGTAGTAGAGAGCACTGACCTTCGTCTGCAACGCAGAGAAGTGCTGAAGTGTTCCGTTTGGTTCTGCTGGGTTATTTCTGTTAAACTTTCATATGGCTGCTTACAGGATTTGTCTTCCAGACTGCTTGTGCATAGAACCACAGAATCGCAGGAGCAATTGGACTGTGAGGAACATTTGAAGACCTTCCAGGTCCAACCCCCTGCATGGGCAGGGACCCCTTCCACCAGCCCAGGGTGCTCCCAGCCCCGTCCACCCCGGCCTTGGGCACTGCCAGGGAGGGAGCAGCCACAGCTCCTCTGGGCAGCCTGGGCCAGGGCCGCGCTGCCCTCATCATAAATCATTTCTTCCTTATGTCCAGTCTAAACCTGCCCTCCCAGTTTCAGACCATCGCCCGTCACTTCAGGCCTTGGTACAGAGTCTCTCTCTGTCTTCCTTGTAAGCCCCCTGTGTACATTGAAAGGCCATTGTGGGGAGTACGAATTTAGTGATGCAGTCTCCTCTCTGCCTGTTATATACTGAAATGCTGTAATAAGGTCTCTCCGGACCCTTCTCCTCCCCAGGTTGCCCAGCCCCAGCTCTCCCAGCCTCTCCTCCCCGCAGAGGGGTTCCAGCCCTCGCATCATTGCTGGGGCCTCCTCCGGCCCCGCTCCCGCAGCTCCAGCTCTGTCCTGTGCTGAGGGCTCCAGAGCTGGACGCAGGGCTCCCGGGGGGGTCTCAGCACAGCGTCCCTCCCGGCAGGCCGGCTCCCCGCCCCTTCCCCCCCAGCCTGTGGTGACACCGGGCGCTGCCCTGACCCAGGGGCAGGACCCTGCCCTTGGCCGTGTAGAACCTCATGAGGTTCACCCGCGCCCACCCCTCCAGCCTGCCCAGGTCCCTCTGGATGGCATCCCGTCCCTCTAGCGTGAATCTTCCGGCAATTCCATGCTGTTCTCAGGTATCGAGTTCCTTATTACAAAGATGGAAAACAGGTCTGTCCCAGCAAAGCCAGAAGTCATTTTTCACCTTTAAGATTACTTAACGTCAAAAGTAAACCTGGGCAGAGTTGAGAGGCTGGTGACCCGTGATGGCTGCTAGGCTGGGTACCTGCAGGGCACCTTCCCACGTAGCTGCCACCGGAGAGAAGTCTGCAGGGTTGGGTGATGCCCAGCCAGCGGCCTGCTGGTAAAAAGCAGACGATCGGCGCTCTGCAAGACTGGAAAGCTCTACGTGACTCTGTTTTCCTAGGAAGTCTCCAGTTGTCATCTCCCCGTGAGACTGCACCTCTGGGACTTTCTTTCAAGATCCCACCGAGTCCAACCTTTCGTGGTAGCTAAAGGAGGAGCTAACGTTTCGTTTTGTGCCTGATGAGCCAGGTGGAGAGTCGGATTCAGATTGTACCTCTCCTTGGAGCCCTGGTGCTCCTGTTCTTTCCTGCTTACTGAGATTGCTTGCTGTGGCTGGGGTGGGAGCACGCTCTCCAGTTGGAGCTGTCTTTTGTTCCAAGGTAAGTTCTCCTGGTGGGAAGAGGCTGTGAGACCACTGGTGAGGCCTCTTCCCGGAGTCCTTGCTGCTGGTCTCCCCCAGCTTAGGGTCTCCCCTTAAAGGAAGGTGGACTCACAAGATGCATCTTCTTGGTACGGCTTTTGGCAGAATTTACTCCTGTGGGTCACGGCATCGGAGGAAAGCCTGGCAGGAGCTTGGGGAGTGGGTATGCGTTGGGGGTTGTTAGGCTAGGCCAGGGGGTTATTTTTATCGATGGTGGCTGAAGGCAGCTTTCCCAGGCAGTGCTGGCAGGGGCTGCAGCTGCAGGCAGCTCATGAAGAAGCCATGGAAGCTCAAGACCTGGTGAACTACCATGTAATGGGAGCTACCGGCCAGTGTGTTTGCTGGCTTAGGAAGGGCCTTGCTCAAGGATTCGGCTTCTCTGCTGCTTTGTCCTCTCTCATCCAGGTCTCTCCCCGGCTCTGCACAGCCAGCTTCGAGGCTGCTGTAGGCATTCAGCTGTTGAGCAGAGTCAGCTAAAGATGACGAGAAGATCTTCCTCCAGTCTTCAACCCGGCTGCCGTTTTACGGGTGGTCTCTAGGGCAGGCAGCGGTTACTTTGGAAGTGCAGCCAGCGCTGCCCATCACGCTCGGATCTGCCTTGTCCTTGCCCTTTCCCCATTGCTGTCCCCAGGGTGTCCCTTCGTCCAAGTGGAAAGCACGGTTGTTCTCCTTGTTGGCTGCTTGTGGTGGACGTGTGCTTGGTGCTGGCAAGCAGAGTTTTTGAAAGTTTCAGGACGTGAGAGTAAAATCTACAAAGAGCTGGACATTAGTTTTATTTCATGAGCAAATCTTCTGTATCTTTTCTCCTCTGGCTGTTCCTGGGGTGTATAACCCACGTGAAGTTGTGGTAAACTGGCATCGGGTGGGGACGCTTGGCCGCCTGTGCTAGCCTCTAGGAAGCGTTCCTGATGTCTCCACCTCCTCGAATAACCGACTGTTGTTTTCTGAGCGCTGCTTGTCCTGCTCTGCAGAGGGGATGGGGAGGCTGCGCTGAAGGTGTCCATGCCTTGCAAACGGGTTGGTGTATGTCTGTGCAGAGCTCTGTCTCTGCCCAGCGTGAGCTGGCCGGAGCAGGGGAGCTTGTCTGAGGTGTGGGTGGGCTTGGCCTGCTCTGCCTGGGCAAGGGGCATGGAGCAGGAAGGACACTTAGTACGCTTCTAGTAATTAAGCTATAGCTGGAGATAGATATAGATATATATATAAATCTTGCTAGCATATAATATACTCTTAGACATAATGTAAAATGTCGCTTACCTGGTCATAGATATCAGGTGCTGGGTAAAGGGTCTCTCAGCCTTGAGGCGTCCCTGCTGCAGGGAGATCCCCCCGTGCAGGCTGCTGCCCTAGAGGAGAGCTCAGCGGGCTCGGGGGGCTGTGGACATTCATAGTGTCAAGTGAGGGACTCGTAGTCACCCTCACTTTGGTGTGTGGGCAGCTGTAGCGGTTTTAGTCTGGTCTGGTCCCAGCTCGGGCTGGTGCTGTTAGAAGATAAGTGCCCAGCCCCATTTATTGTGGTTTGCCTGGCAGGGCTGGCTTCAGTCGGGCGTACTGGTCGGTGATGCTGACCCACGGTACCGCTCCCTCGGAGCGGGTGCGTCTGTCGCCGGTGCTGAGCTGGAGAGCCTGGGGTGGGAGCCCAGCGGGGAAGAGGCAGGGCAGGATGGCACTGGGGAGGGTGCAGGTGGCACAGCCCTTGGGTGTGCGGGGCAGGGGAAAGCACCAGCGGCAGCTCGGGGCGGGGGGGAGCTGATGAAAGGCAGATGGCACAGCCCTTGGGTGTGCGGGGCAGGGGAAAGCACCAGCGGCAGCTCGTGACGGCGGTGACTTACTGGGGATGCGGGACAGGGTTCCCTGAGAAACTGCGCTGTGGGCGGGGCTGGGTGCCTGCTCAGGGGCTGGGAGTAGGAGGGAGGTGGAAGAGTCACTGACACCAGTAGCATTCACAGGCTGACTCATGCGAGATATGGTCCTTGATCTAGCAGGCTGTGCCAAATATTTTTTTATCATCTCCCCTTTCTTATGTCATGGAGTCGGATTTTGCAGACTTAGATTTCAGCATCTTTTTATCCAACCAATCTGTTCCTTGTAATCTGTATTTAAGAAAACCCCTCTGCTTTCTGAACCTTAGGAAATTCGTAACATTCATAACGATGAACTAATGGGTATTCGAAGAGAGGAGGAAATGGAAATGTCTGATGAAGAAATAGAAGATCCATCAGAGATGAAAGAAACGGAAGAATCAGGTAAAATCACTTTTTACAGCTCATAAACAGAGTCCTTGTCTCTTCAATGGCTGCTTCCAGGAGCCCCGTTCTGACCGTTTTGTACCCCAGAATTGTCACAGGCAGAGCAAAACCAGCTGCAGCTACCTGGAGCTGTTTTCCTCGGTGCCTGGTTCTGTAGCCAGCGTTTGTCGATGCTCCCTGCGATGGATGGTCAGGGTAACCTATAGCTGTGTCTGAGCCGCAGTCCCTCCCGAGATGCGGGGGCTTCGTGGGGATGCGCGTGGAGGAGCTGTCCCGCGGTGCTGGGTTTCAGCGGTGCTCGGAGAGGGAGCAGCGAGGGTGCGTGGTGGGAGACGTGGCTGGAGTCGTAGCGCGGGGCTGTGCGGTCGGCTGGGTGTTCCTGGGTCCTGCAGCTTGCAGTGCCCTTGGCTGGGACTCACAGGAGAACTGCGCTGTCCAGACACCCCTTCCCCGCCGTGCAGAGCGGGGTCCGACACACGCTCACTGGCTGGGAGAGCGAGTAGGGGCACAGAATCACAGAATCCCAGAATGCTGGGGGTTGGAAGGGACCTCTGTGGGTCACCCAGTCCAACCCCCTGCCCAAGCAGGGTCACCCAGAGCAGGCTGCACAGCACCGCGGCCAGGCGGGGCTGGAATATCTCCAGAGAAGGAGACTCCACAGCCTCCCTGGGCAGCCTGGGCCAGGGCTCCGTCACCCTCAGAGGGAAGAAGTTCTTCCTCGGGTTCAGCTGGAGCTTCCTCTGCTTCAGTTTGTGCCCGTTGCCCCTTGTCCTGTCGCTGGGCACCACTGGAAAGAGCCGGTACCAGAGGTCGGGACTGGGGGAGGTCAGGCTGTGCCCTCCGCAGCATGGGTGTGTTTTCAAACCTGCCAGAGCTGCCTCTGCAGCCGTTATGTTATGTTCTGTAACCCCGTTCCTGAATTTATCAAGCCCTGTGTGGGCACCAGGCTGATGCGGTGTTTCATCCATGACTTGGAGACATTCTTCTGGTGGAAGGTGCCCGTGGAGCCTGTCCCAGAGTCTTTCAGCTTTGCTGGTTAGGAAACCTGCTTCCTTGCCAGCATGGTCCTTTCACCCCAATATGTTCTTTTGCTTCTTTTTTTTTTCTTTCCAACGTAAATACTGCATTCACTGCTGAGAGGTGCTTGTTTGCTAGAGGTACACAAACAGTGGTTGGGAGACATCAATTTTGGTACTCTTGACTTCTAACTGGGAGCTACGGAGCCACTGTGCGCTGGGGGAGAGCACCCAGGGACTCCTTGCCCGCAGTTCTCTGACTTTCGGTCCTTGCCTGCCTTGTTCTCCAGCGCTGGTGTCGCAGGTGGAAGCCCTGAAGGAAGAAAACGACAGTCTGCGCTGGCAGCTGGATGCCTACCGGAACGAGGTGGAGCTGCTGAAGCAGGAGCAAGGCAAAGCAAGCAGGGATGAAGACACAACCAAGGAGCAGCAGATGAAGCTGCTCCAGCAGGCTCTGCAGGGGATGCAGAAGGTGGGCCCGGACTTTTAACCGGACACTTAACCTTTTAATTGTTCTGAATGTGATCTGTGTGGCCTTCGTGGAGAAGCCCCTGTTCATTTCGTATTCTGTAAAGAGTAGGAGGTGAAAGGCGCGTTAAGAACTCCACTGATTTGTTCTCTTCCAGCACCTTTTGAAAGTACAAGATGAATACAAAAAGAGAGAAGCTGAGCTAGAAAAAGTGAGAGAAGACAAGCTGAAAATAGAAACGTTATTAGAAAACCTGAAGGAGCAGGTATGTGTCATCCCAGTGCTTCCTTATTCTCAGTAGTGGGTGCAGTCCTTGGATTTCGGGGTCCATCGTGAGCACAGTGAAGGACAGAGCGTAGGAAGTGCCTTGTCCTGGGTTAGGAGCAAGTGTCTTTGGGCAGCTGGAAGAAATTGCCTGCCAAGGAGGAGGTGTATCAGTAGTGAACTTGCTGATCGCTTGATGTACTGGTGAGACAGTCTTCATAAGCAACTGTATAAATAAAAGATTAACTTTCATTTTATGATACATAGTGGTATTGCAGCTGAAATGTATTTTTCTGCAACATGAGCTTTAAAAGATAAGAAAAAAGGGTCTCAGTTATCAAACATTGATTTTTAGATTTGCGTTTTGGGGACGTGTTTGGATCTGACCTCCGTAAAGCACTACTGAATTGAAAGTTTTTGTCAGGGCTATAATATTGTTGTGCGTGCTGGATTTACTCTAAGGATAAATACGTGCTGCTTCTTCCTGGCTGTGGTCCACTCTGTCTTTTGGTTGTGGACCCATGCACGGACCTAAACTGGCTCGGTCCTCTCCTCTGTAGCACAGACACAGCTACACAGGAGAGACGAGAAGCCTTGCGCAGCCGTTCATGCTGAGGCCACAGAGCCCAGTGTTGGGGTCTGGTCTCAGATTTTCAGTCTTTAGCCCTGCCTTTCTGTGCCGTGAGCTGGATAGGTGATAAATGTCTCTCTAGTAACCAGAAGTGGCTTAATATCCCAGTAATCTTCAGTGCAGGAGCTTCAGTGCCCGAGTCAAAGCGCAGAAATAACAGACCGTCTCTCATTTCTTTCCCCGTCTGTAGCAAAGCATGGCTGATGAGGAGGACAAGGAGAGGGATGTGACTGAGTGTCAAGGGAGTGTAAGTCTGAGTTTCTTTTCTGCTGCTTTAGTCGGGATATCTTACTCAGGGAAGTAATGACACCTCCAATACCTGTTGGATCTCCAAGAGAAAGCGCTCGGCGCGTTTCCAGGACGGCACCGCTGGCTGACCCGCAGTCCTGTGCCAGCCCGCAGCTCGCTCCGTGTCCGCGGTGCAGACCTGGGCTTTCTCCCGCAGAAGCCAACTGTAGCCTGCGTAGGCCAGGGCTGCGCAGATCCGTCCCGTGTAGCTGGGGCTTGCGCTGGCCTAAGAAGCTGAGCAAACCCAAGGGAGCTTTTATTTCTATCTTTGTTGCTGGCCCAAGTCCAGTCCCTTTCACTAGTGACTGGAGGCTGTTCCCAATTATAGCTGTCTGCAGCTCTCAGACCACTGGAATTCCGCATAAAACTTCGGAATGAGAGAAAGTCCTGCTCTTAGTGCACCCACCAAGTCCTCACATCACAGGCAGTCCTGTGTTTGTTTGGGGGATAAACCAGAGTTTTGCAGAATTTACTAATTCGGCACCACAAACTCAAGTCAGGGACAGTCTGATCCCAAGCCCTTAGTCTGCACTGCAAGGCTTGCTTTCTAGTCTGTCTTTTCTTTGATTATTTAAAATCATAAGGTCCTAAAATAAGAGCACACATTGTACCAGTGAACAGGGCCAATAAAGTGTGTGTTGTGGCATCTTGCTTCGCTTCACGGGCTTTTAATCTAACGTGGTGGTTCAGGCACAGCAGCAGGGAGGTAGCTGCGCTCTGTTGGAAGCGTTTTGCAAAAATCAACAGTGGACAGAGCAATGCGCTGAGGGCGGTGGCTCGGAAAGAGGGAAACAAAACCGCCGGCCCTGGGTCTTTTGCAGGAGAGCAGCGCGTCCCGAGCGTGTGCCTGCAGCCAGGAGAAGGAATGTCCGGCTGAGAAGACGTTGAGCAATAGTCCTGTGAAATCGGAACGGGAAGTTCTCCTGGTTGGTAAGTTCTTTCGGCGGGTCGGCTCTCCTGGCGGTAGCAGCTGCGGCCAGAGATGAAGGAAGGGTGGGGAAGGGCGGCAGGGAGAGAAGGCCGGGCTCGATGGGGTGAGGGGTGTTGCTAGCGTGGTCAAGTGATGCTCCCAGAGGGACTGCTGACCTCTGATTTACAGCGCAGGGGGATCTGCTACCCTTTTTATCTCCTCTCCCCTTGCCTTTTCCTAGTGATACAGAAAATAACCTAACGTGGCCTGCTCCGGCGGCTGCAGAGCTGCGTGCGACCGGGCAGTTCTCTGAGCTGAAGTCCGACCCCTCACACGCAGCCGCGGATGAAGGAAGGGTGGGGAAGGGCGGCAGGGAGAGAAGGCCGGGCTCGATGGGGTGAGGGGTGTTGCTAGCGTGGTCAAGTGATGCTCCCAGAGGGACTGCTGACCTCTGATTTACAGCGCAGGGGGATCTGCTACCCTTTTTATCTCCTCTCCCCTTGCCTTTTCCTAGTGATACAGAAAATAACCTAACGTGGCCTGCTCTGACTTCTCAGCCCAAAGCACTGGGTAGCTGGGGATTTGCTGGAGCTTAGAAAAGGAAGAACAGAAGTCTTTCTCTTGATGGGACAAGGCATTTTCTCCAGTTCACTGTCACTCAGCCGGGTTCTCCTTAGCCATCCCTCTACATCCGATTTGAGAATAACGAAAAATCACTTATTGTTGTCCAGGTGGATCTGTTTGTGCCAGGTCATGGGCTGGTTTCTGCAGTGAGAGGGGGACTCTGGGGACAACCGAAGGCACAGCCTTTTTCTGCAGATGATGCCCAGAAACGCAAGGCAGTCTTTTTGCTGTTTGCTGCGGTTCCTTTGCAGTCTGTGGCCAGGCCTTGCCGTACTTAACCCCCAAAGTGCCCGTTCGGATCCCTCTCCGCTGTGCCAGCGGTAACGGAGAGCCGGTGCTCTCGGCTGGCCCTCGTCTCGCGAGAGTGACGCTTGTGGTGTTCCTTTCCCCAGGAATAATATCGACGTTTCTTCACGTGCACCCGTTCGGAGCAAGCATAGAGTACATCTGTTCCTACCTGCAGCGTCTGGACAGCAAAGTAGGTGTGCCAGCACGCCCGGGGTCTGGGGTCTGCGCGGCTGGGAAGGAGCCACGCTCCCTCCCGAGGAAGGGGGACGGGCGGGACAGGAGGATCCGGCGTGTATTGACCGGGATGACCTCCTGGGAGAGGGAAAGGGTGAGCTGCCTTAGAACCGCAGAGCGGTCTGGACTGGGAGGGGCCTCTGAAGGTCACCTAGTCCGCCCCGCTGCGCTGCGCAGGGGCACGGTTCCCTAGACCAGGTTGCCCAAAGCAGCCCAGCTCCTGGCTCAGCCCTTACGCAGCGTAATGCTGACCTCCACACGGAGCTGAAGGTGATGTTCTTGCTGCAGATGTTCCTGTGTAACCCTGCTCCCTAATTCAGGAATACCCTTGGATGGTGGCTGTATTTTGCAGCAGTGGATTCCACCTTTAAAATCTCCATCTAAAATGTGTTTCTCTTTGTTCTGTTGAAGTTTGCTGCCGTTGTTTCCCTTATCCTTAGGACCTCTAAGGAGAAGAGCAAACAACCCTCCTACTGCATACTGTTTATTATCTTACAACATCTGCCATGTCACTGTTTGTGTATATTCTCTCTAAACTGAGCAGTCAGATTATTTTTGTGTCTCGGAGCAATGTTTTTCTGTTTTTATGATCTTGTAGCCCTTCACTGAGCCTTTTCTGTCGCTGTGTTGATACTGTCAGTGAAGTCGTTTTTCAGAGGGTGCTGTGCAAGGGCCTCATGCTGCAGCAACACAGGCAGGGAGTCACAGTCCCTGCTTGCAGGGTTCCGTGCTACGTGGAGGGATCGAGCCCTGGGTGCAGGGATCACGAAGGGCAATAACCAGGGCAGCGCTCGTGCGTTTTCCATAGGGCAACGAGACGCTGCTGGTTCCTGCGGTGTTTCTGCGTGTTGCTGGCTTCAGACTGCTTTTCAGAGCCAGTGGGGAAGGGACTGTGCAAGGCTTTTGAAGGTTCAAGGCAATTATATCTCGCTCCTCTATTAATCTGTTCTTCGTCAGTCTTCTTCGAAGTGCCCCAGGAGCAGGAGACTTACCAGCATGGGAGACTGGAACTTTCTCAGCTGCTTTTGTTTATAACTCACTGTTTAATTCTCCCCGTTCTCTGAAAGCCCGCCAGCCCTTTAAAGACCTATCTGCTAATTTATCTTCTCATTCTAGCTCTGAATTTGTCTGAGGCAAACAGCTGCCTTTATTTTTTCTTTGGAGCTTCCAAAGAAATGCTGTGATATCACTCGTCTGACTTCTGGCACTTCCTCTTTGGCGTCTGCAGTGTAGAGAAGGGCTGCTGGAGGCTTCTCCAATAAGCTTGGGACAAAAGCCCTGTGAAAAGCGCGTCCTTTAACCTCTGCAGTGGCATCGGTCGTCTCTGTTGTTCACTGACACTCGGGCAGACACATCAGCCTGCTGACTTGCACAGGTCTGCCGTGCCGGGCCCCTTGACAGGAGCCCTTCCCGTTTGTCCTCCAGGTCACACCTTGGCTCTGTTGTCTCCTCCTCGATTATTGCAGGAGCCAGGTCTCGCTGGGGGTGTCGCTTGTAACGTCTGGCAGGTCTTTGGGCTGGAGGCTGGGTAGGAGTTGGGGGAGCTCCTGAGAGCAGAACCTGGTTTCCTGAAGCTGCCAGGAGGAAGGGAAGAAGAATATCTCTCCCCTGTTCCCTGCCCGTCAGCCTCACCAGGAGGGCCGGCAGGTCAGCAGAGCGTGCCGAGGGGCAGCTGCGGGGTGGTCTGCAGCCCCGGAGCAGTCCTTACGGAAAGTCAGTGTAGCCCTGTGGGCATCGCAGGAGCTGGGCGGTGTAGGCGGTGCTCCTCCCGGGGTGCTTGGTTCCACGGCTGGGGTTGGACCTCTGCTGTTCCCTCAGCTCTCTGGAACTCAGGACGTTGTTTCTGCCTGACCGCAGAACAGCGGGATGACAACAGCGCATCCGCCACAGGCAGCTCCATCTGGCAAAGTGGGTGCTCTTCATCTTCATCATGTTGGGCGCGTTTGGAAAGCTGTGGGCCCTGCAAAGGGGTCTGAGGAATGCACTGGCGCACTAAGGAAGGCGGAAAAGCGAACCTACCTTCTGTGTATGTTCCCTTCCCAGTGGCGAGCGGTCCCCTCCGCTCTTGGAAGTAAAAACCTTTTCTCTCCAGCTAAGTGCTGGCTGAGAACTGCAGTTTGTGCTGGCGTACACAGAAAGAGCAAGGTAATGCCTCCTTGGGAAGGGCAGTGCCAAACCTGAGTTTGGAAGGATGCTGGGGAATTGACTCGGGATTACCTCCTGGAAAATCCAGTTACGCGTTGTATTGGGGACCATGAAGTGGGATCGGGCTTGACGTTACAGAGCGGTCGAACCGAGTTCACCATGGCAGGTGGAAAGGAACCATCGGCATCAGGAAGCACGGCTGAGGCGCGTGGGTGACAGGCACACAGCTGAAAGCAGAGCCCCTGGAAGCTCGGAGAGCTGCGGACTCTGCACCTCTGAAGGGAGTTCAGAACGGAGACGGTGACGGGGGTGGATCAGCAGAACGTGTACAAAGGATGTCCCGCTGCGCTGGTGGAAACCATCCATGTGCTTGTCCAGAAACACACCCTGGTGCTCTGTCTAACTGGCAAGTGGGTGAGGTTGTTGTGCAGAGAGAGCTCGGAACGTGTCTCGGAGCAGACCCAGACGGACAGCAGAACCAATCTTCAATTCTTGTGACTATAAGAAATGAGGTTTCAGTTTTTCCGCTGCCGTAAGAAAAGCATTGCAGGCAATTCAGTGTGAGGTGGGCACGGCCTTTGCACCCTTTGTAGGTCCTGAAACTGTTAACTTGCAGCATCTTAAAAGTTTTTTCACGTGCTGAACTTCAGCTGTATCTGGTAAATGCCCGAGCACTCGGATTACCGGGCCTGCCTGCCTAGGTGTGGTGCAGCCACGGGGGTCACGCTCCGCGTCGGTCGCTGCCTGAAACGAGGGGCTGGCTTGACGAGCCTTTGGGCTGACCTGCTCTGGCAAACCTCTCCACCTCGTATATTGAGGTTTCTGTCCTGCAGCGGCGTGACCTCCACGTCTTGTGTCCTGGCTCTGTTTGAGCAGCTCCTGTGCTGTGAGGGACGCGGTAGCTGCGCTGTCGGTCAATCCTTGCGACTGCTGAGAATGTGAATAGAAATTCCCCGCGTCCCTGACTTCTGTGCCCAGTCACCGAGAGCTCTGTTCTTGCAGCAGCAGTAAGGCACTTGCTGTTCAGTTGCTTAAATGCTTGGGAGGTTTTAGTCTATTGTCTTGCATTTCGCAGGGGAAAAATTTACGCAGTCCTGTTACCCTTGTTTCTCGTGTTCGTTATATCCGCAACCGTCCCGCGCCGACGTGTGGCAGTAGCCCAGCTCGTGCTGTCCCGGGATTATTACCAGGAGTGTGCAGGGAAAGCCTGGTGCGCTTCAGCGAGGAGACCTGGCGGAGCTTGGTTATTGCCAGTCGTTGCAGGGCTTCCCCAACCAAAGCGTCATCGTTGCTAGCGACGTTTTCCTTCTGTTTCTGCAGATTTGCACCGCCGAAGTGGAAGTTCTCATGACTCGGCTCCAGAACACGTTCAGGCAGGAGCTGAGTGGGGTTGGGGCCAGCCTAGAGAAAAGGTGGAAGTTTTGTGGCTTTGATGGACTGAAAATGACTTGAGCTTCGACTTCACGCTGAAACCAGCGGCAGGCTGTGTGCGCCAAGAGAGCCCGGGATGCCTCCTGCCTCTGTTCGTGATGATTATCTTGCACGCGTCGCAGACTTGGGTGGGAGGAGGCGTAAGTGAAGCTGTGAGTCCGGAGCAGCACTGGAAGAAACCTCAAGTTCTGTAGCTTCTTTGATCAGTTATTTGTTAATGGGCAAGTGCTGTTCAATATATTTTGTGAAAAAAGTTCATGTCTGATGTTTTTAAGCGCAGCGTGTTGACTGTACGCTTTGCCAGTGTAGTGTGTGTTTTGTGTGCCCGAGTCTCCTGCCCTGTAACCTTCTTTTTGCTGGTGGGAGCCATAGACTGTCCTCCGAAGCCACAAGAACGGCATTTTCTGGTGTCTAAACCACCAAAAGGGGGGGAAAAAGCTTTTTTAGGCATTTCTATAATTAAAAACGGAGGTGTGTTTAAACAGAAGGCGACTGAGATGGCTCAGAGCTTTCTGAGCTGAACAGTTGGTTCTTTTTCGTGCTGTTTTCCCTACGGATGGTTTCAAGCTAAGGCAAGGTGAAGGCAGTGTCACTAGGAGCCGAGTGCGGCTCTGGCAGAGGTCAGTCTGTAAATCATTGCAGGGTCAGTCTGTAAATCATTTTTTACATGGGAAGGGTATTTAATTTTCTGTTGATCTGGGTGGAGCAGGGAGGCTGCGTCGTCAGACCTCTATTTTAGAAATGGCTTACCACCAAATTTCTCCACCCACTCCGCTTTGGAACTTCTGGAAGTGCTCAAGCAGCACAGACTTTTCTCCTCCTGAACCTTCCCAAAGGCTCTTCCTCGTGCTCCCGGTAAGTGCCGGGCTCCTCCCCAACCCTCTGCAGAAGAGTGGGGAGATGTGGGGTAAAACGCCTCGGCCCATCGACCGGACGATGATCCCAACCCCTCTGCAGAGCCTTCCTGCAGACCACTGCTCCCACCCTGCTCGCTGTCGCCTGCACACTGACCGAGGACGCGCTCAATGCCCTTGCCCAGGCCACCGATGGAGACGCGGAGCAGAGCCGGCCCCAGCGCCCAGCCCCGCGGAACGCCGCTCCCGACCCTCCGGTTGTGCCAGCCAGCCCACCGTGTTTCCGTCACGCCAGCTGGATCGTAGTTCTCCAGCTGCACTACGGCTTCCAGCTCCTCCCGTGTGTTGCCCTCGCTGCCGGCATCAGTGTAGATGCGCTTCAGTTGGAGGTTGTTCCCACCACCTTTTTGGGGGGAGAAGCCCTAACTCCTGCATTCTCAGGTGCTTCCCTGGTTTCCAGCTCACCAGCAACCCTTGGGTCTTCGCCGCTGCTTGGACTCCATCCCCTGCCCACGCCGAGGGGGCTGAGGGGCTGCGGGTGTTGGCAAAGGGACATTTCAAATGTGCTCCCGTGCCTGCAGTATGCTGTCCCTCAAACCCTGGCGTGCTGCCCCCGGGTTTTATCCCTTTCCCCCTTCAAATCTAGGCTAAAGCTCTTTCGGTGAGCCCTGCTGACTGCTGCACAAAGCCCCTTTCCCTCTGTGGGCCAGGTGTAGCTGGGGCTGTGTGGACCGTGTTTGTGCTCGAGACCCCAGACTCTGCCGCTGAGGCCGGGCTCGGAGCCGGGTGTTGCTCTGCTGGCTCTGCCCCTCTCTCCCCTTGTCTTGCCCTGCAACTGGAGGGGCAGAGGAGAACGCGACCCAAGCTCCCTATCCCCAGGCCCTGGAGTCTCTCTTGGTGGTCCTCAGACTTCTCGTTGGAACTTGATCGCTGCCTGCCTGAAGAATCAGCAGTGGCTGATAATCTGGGGCTGTCTGCGCGGTTCGTGGTGGGCCAGGCAGAGGGGTCTGTGTGGCTGGGACCCCCGGGGTGACAGCTCTCTGCTGTCAGGGCCAGGTGAGTCCTGGGTCCTGCTCCTGAGGTTTCCGGGAGAGCTCCGTCC